TTCCGTTGTGAAAGAAGGACGTCGTACTTATTTAACTGGAAACTTTTGCTACTTATGTTTAAATGAAAATTAATGATTTATTGTAATTTTGTTGTTGTTGTATTAAGGAAATAAACTTTTCCAACAAACTAAACGAGTCGACGATGTCGAAAAAGGTACACACAATTTCCAGCTCATAATGATTTTGAAATTTTTAATTCTAAAGCCTTTCCTCTTGTGTACAAACAAAACAGTTTCTGTATTATTGCAATATAACATTGTTGTTAATGTCCGACTGCCTGACTGACTGTTCTTGGAAAATCTAATAAAATACCCACCTAATGAAACACATTTAAGTCATATAATTCGTATTTCTTATGTAAACAATAATTAAAGTTTTTATTTACTTTTTCGTAGAAAATATCGGACCCTTTTAATTGTCTTTCTGTGTTGTTTTCTGGGATAAAACAAGTTAAATGTAAAAATATTTGACAAATCAAATGATTGTCATGACAATTGAGTGTAAATTTGTTTGAAAAGTTCGTGAGTGTGAATGCTGAGAAATTTCCTTATTTAAAATTACGATTAAATTTCAATCGTACGTTAAATGAGGTTGTTAATGAAATATCTGAATTTCCGGGAAATATTAAATTGCTCAAATCGATCGAAAAAATAGCATTAGGTTTGTATTATTTCGGAGATGTTGGAATGGTGATATTTGTGAAAAATAATGTTGAGATTATTAAATACGATTTATAATTTTCGATAGAGATAGAGAATTCAGCATTTCCTTTAGAGAAAACGTCAGGAATCGGGACTTTTATAAGTGAGAAGTCCTTCTGATTGGAATCTCAAAATTCCAACGCAATTAGTAAGACTACATATGAGACTCTGGTATCAGCGTAACTAGGAAAATTATTTCTTGGAATACCACAAATTTTCGGCTAAAACTCAAGCTAGAAAATAAGGAAGATCTTCACCTATTGAATTTGTCGTAGTTCATAGGATTTGTGGAAACCGATAAAGGAGAGGATCCCTCTAAATGGGATCATATTTGAAACTTTTCTGTGTAGACTTTTTACCAAAATTTAAAAATTCAAACACTTTGGTTAAAAAGAAAACGTTTAGGATTATGAAAATAACTTAACTCTATCGAGACCTTTGTATGGACGTATTTTATAAAAGCATCGAGCTCAAAATCGTCATTTTATTTTTAATTTTAAAATATAACAGCATTTTTTGTAGATTCAAAATTATACCATGAGCAAAAAATAAGGAAGATCTTCATCGATTGAATTTGTCGTAGTTCATACGAATTTTTGAAACCAAGAAAGGGTGGGTCCCTCTAAATTGGATCATATTTTGAAATTTTTCTGTGTAGACTTTTTACCAACCAAGCACCCGAAATGTACAAATTCAAACACTTCGGTTAAAAGGAAAACGTTTAGGACCATGAAAATAGCTGTCTGTCTGACGGTCGAGACCTTTGTATGGACATATTGTCAGAACATTAAATTAAACTGGAGTCTTCGAAGAATATTTCCAAGCATTGTACACGGAATGAGATATATATTACCATGAACCGATTTAAACCAGAATCGGCTGATGTCATTTCAGTCTCAATTTTTGGGCTTATTTCATGTTTTATGAAAATTTAAAAATAAGCAATATAAAATGGAGAACGATTTATGAGAAAGTAGCAGAGCCATATAGTCGGACGGAGCCGACCCATATTAAATTAAATTATGAGTCAACAATCTATATTTCATACTGACAACTTTTAAGGATCATGTTCTTTGTACTTTTTCAAACAAAAGTAGACCCCCCTACATATTGACCGATTGTCATCGTCAAAATGTCTATACTTATTCATTGCCCACATCCTATTCCTCCTAGATTTCAAACTATAATGGACAGACGGACAGAGAACAATTCAGCTAGTGGACATGTGATGATCGCTAAACTAAAAATTGGATCTAGGACAAAAATTTCGTGGCATTATAAATTTTGGACCTTTGATCTGTAAAAAAATTAGTATTGATCGGACTGACAATACATGAAATCTGACGGATTTATGTCAGGGAAATATATTTATACCCTTCACCACATTGTGTTACACGGTATTAAGTCTTTGTGCATATGTTTGTAACAGGCAAAAGGAATCGAGATAGACCCATGGTTCCTTTTGAGAATATGCATAGAATCATTTTCTGAATTGGTTTACGAAGAAATTGGAGAAAATCGGTTCAGATTTAGATATAGCTCCCATATATAGTTTCGTCCGATTTTATGTGAATGATACACCAAACTCCCAATATTTGTCAGATTGGGACAAAATTCTGCACAGAGTACTGAATTAGGTGCAGACTGATGTCTGCGAAGTTTTGTTAAAATCGGTTCAGATTTAGAAATAGCTCCCATATGTAGTTTCGTCCGGTTTTTTTGTGAATGATACACCAAACTCCCAATATTTGTCTGATTGAGTAAAATTTTGCATAGCGAATGCTATTGAGAAAAAAATTATGCGCGATAAGGTTTGTTGAAATCGGTTCAGATTTTGATATAGGTCTTATGTAAATGGTGTTTATACGAAATTTGGCAGAGGGTATTAAATTGAATATAGTGATTACTCAATTAGGTCCATGCATTTATATATAGCTCCCATACATAATCTGACACGATTTCATACAAATGGTACATCAAAAATATAATTTCGCCCGATTTCATCTCAGTGGTCCTCCAAATATTCTATGGCAGGATATTGTAGATATTAACATGTCTTGCATGTACCCAAAGTGGTGAAGGGTATCATATAGTCGGCCCCGTTCGACTTTTTAACTTTCTGGTTTTTATACCCTTCACCACACTGTGGTACAGGGTATTATGTCTTTGTGCATATGTTTGTAACAGGCAAAAGGAAACGAGATAGACACATGGTTCCTTTTGAGAATATGCATAGAATTACTTTCTAAGTCGATTTATGCATGTCCGTCCGTCCGTCTGTCTTTCTGTCTGTCCATGTAAAATTGTAAACAAAGTACAGGTCGCATTTATGATCCGAATTGGATGAAATTTGGCATAGGTCACTTATTCGGCCCAAGGACGAACCCTATTGAAATTGGGAAAAATCGGTTCAGATTTAGAGATAGCTCCCATATATATATTTCACCGATTTAATGTAAACGGTCCCTATATATCTTTCGATTTGCACGAAATTTGGTACAGCCTAATCATTTAGGTCTAGAATGATGTCTGCCAAGTTTCGTGAAAATCGGTCCAGATTCTGAAATTAGTATAACCTAACCTGTGACAAGTTTGTTTGAAATCGCTCAATATTTGGATAGAGCTTCCATATATATTTTCGCCCGATTTCAAGCAATTTGGGCATCAAACTCCTCATGTTAGTCAGATTGACATCAAATTTTGCACAACTTACAAAATTGAGCATAGAATTACGTAGTTGCGTTTTCTAGAAGTGCAGACATAGCCCAACGGATGACCTATTTATATTTGTTTGAAGTCGATTGACATACTTTATGGATAGATCTAGGTAGATTCACATTTAGATAAATATCACATTTTTTCATCCAATTTTATGTTATAATCCTGTTTAATATACCCATAGTGGTGAAGGGTATCATATAGTCGGCGCCGTCCGACTTTACTACTTTCCTTACTGGTTTATTAATTTCTCTTTCGAGATGAGCTACATGATCGGAGTTTGCAATGAAAAGGAAAGCCAGAGAAAAACTACATTCCCGGCGGCTCATCAGCCATATTGGGCAATGTGGCTTTTACGTTACTTGATAAGTTGTATTTATGTCGAATATTGTTGCGAAATTGCATCTACGAATTAAATTCAACCGTGTCAAGTTTCGGACATTTGGCATCACAACAGAACATTCTATTTGAGAGCAGATTTTTCTTGTAGTGATGGACTCAGACTACAATATGTTTCTTCAATGGTATACAACTGCATATAGCTTGTCTTGTTCTGTTTAAGATACAGCTGATATAAAATATTATGCGAGGTGCGCCTAGGTTCTGCAAATCCCAATCTAAGGATATGGTAATTGTGGTTGAAACCCAACTCAGCCATTATTTTCGATTTCCTCTTTGGTCTATTATGGATAGATATTTGAGGGTTAATTGTTGCTGACCAATATGTTACCACATTGAGCTCCTGATGCTTTTATAAAATCTTCATTGAACAATGAAAAATGTGAAATCAAACTGGCGTAAAGATAAACCTTTAAAAAAATTCTTTTGTTTTTAACATTAAAATATAGCAGCAGTTTTTATAGATTCAAAATTATGCGATGAGAAAAAAGTACTTAAGAGTCTTATCGCATTTTAAATTCATATACGATCGACTACAACCTGCCGTCATTCAAATTTACGACGTACTTCTCTCCTTGAAAGTATTATTTAATGGTCTTTTCTGTCATCATACCTTGCCACCAACAGAACCGACGCACCATACCACACCGCACCGCATCATAAAATAAATGTTAATTTTAAATTCATATGTTAAAACAATATTTTACTTAATTTATTATTTTGTTTTATACATATCTTTCACGACGACAATCGCCTTTATTTTCTCTTTTAACAATTTTTACCTTATATGACGTTTTTATCTTTACGCTGTCAATGTGATTTTCTTCGTTTCCTTAATGTTGTTGGTGATGGGTTTTTTGTTCGCTTTTTTGTGCCTGTCATAAGGATAACGACATGTAAATTTGGTTTTTCTTTTCACATACACACATACATAAATGCTGGCACTCAATTATGTTTTTTATACACACGAATACACACACACCAAAACACACCTGTATATACGCATATGAACGTGAGCAGATGTGTCGGTGCTACGTGCTATTCTCCAGGTTGTACGCACGGGACATATACTCCGATATACTCTTGCACTTACTTATAACCCATCTAGCCATATGCTATATGTCAATATGTTCAGTTCCCTCTATTTTGGTAGGTATATTTTAACTATATATTCTACTTACCGACAACCTGCATTATTGCAACTGACTGGGCTGTGGAGAATAATGGCGCATCTGCAGTTACTTCACATGTAAAATTGCCCGATAAACCGAAGCCCACATTGCGTATTAACACTTGTGTCGCATTCGAGCTGGTGACCTGGCGAAAGATATGAAAATGAGAAAAAAAGAAAATGGAAAGAAAGAGTTTGAGTTAAAAAAAGTATAGCCAAGAAAAAAATGAGAGAATACATTTTTAAGGAGATAATGTTATTTATCGAGACAATGACATTAAGATACGTAAAAGATTGTCGTGTCAGAAATGGGCATAATTTTACTTAAGTTTTAAATTATTGCTGTTGTTTCCTGTTTTTAATGGATATAAGAAATATATTTTTTTTAATTTGACTTCATTTAAATATTACAATGTAGGCTAAAGTATTTTGAAAAAAAAAACCTCCTTAAGAAAAAGACCAAAGGCGGACGGTATGGGCTCTAAGATATCATACATCACTTTGGGTATATACGAAAGGTGCTCCTAAGAGACTTATTAAAACCTACATAACCTAAAGTTAGAAATTTGGTTCACAATTTGCATGAAACATGTGGACTATGTTGTATAGGGGGGTTATTTCTAAATCTGAACCGATTTCAACAAAACTTAATACATACAATTCTAGTCTCAATTTCACAAGGTATACTTGCATAAAATCGACGAATATATAAATGTGCACCATTTTTTAATAAAACTATATAAGAGGATTCTTCCTTGCCTGCTTTATTCTACCTTAGAGGTCTGGAATCAAACCCTTGGTTGTTGCCGTAGCCCTTATCGTTAACTTAGTCACAGAGGCAAAAATTGTATGCGGTTAAATCATAAGGTCTATGTGATCAACTCGTAGTTACCACGTTTCCAAAATGTGTAGCGGAAAAAAGCTAGGGTTCCGTAATTTGTTCGGTACGAACAAATAATAACAAATTATTAAAAATATCTCGATGGCTCAACTCACTCATCTTATCTACCAATCAAGCGTCCTTTTCACAAAAAAATAAAAATAGCTCCAATGACTATGTCAGCAGGTTTTTCCAATAGGCAGGTAATCAAATAAAACTCTTGAAGATACATCACTAACATGTCCCAACAGCTCGAGCTTTCCAAACAATTTAAATTTACGACTAAGTGCTTTCTTCCCATCAAAATACGATTATGTTTTAAGCATTGTAGAAACCCCTCATGACATTCAGATAATAAGAAACTAGTAACACCTTCGCTATGTTCGGAACTTTTTATGCCGTTCACCATGAAGTGGGTACTCAAAATATCTAAAACCGCCGGAGAAATGGAAATTTCAAACGGCAAACCCTAACCTTGGAAAATTGGACTATTACATTGAACCTACGGAAAATAACGAATGACTTTTGTAAGGGGGCTATGTAGAAACATACAGTTGCATTGAAATTGTCCAATGATGAAATTTTTTACGCACAAAGGTCTTGGCATACTAACAACTAGTAACCAGTAAGGAAGGTCGTAAAGTCGGGTAGGGCCGACTATACGACACCCTTCACCGTGTTGGGTATATTTTACGCATGTATCCAAACAATTTAATGTCAATGTTACTTGAACGAATTTGAATATGTGATCGTTATCTATAAATGAACCGACTAACATCAATCCATACACTTGATATTCTGCAACCTATGTTAAATCTCATTTAATTCGTTTGCGTACAATTGGGCAAATTTATGTAAGTCGATATAGAGCACTTGATTCACAATATTCGGCATGACGCACTGTTCAAAAATTAATCTATATCAGACACCCGTTCGAAATATATCTGTAACGTCATTCTAGTCTCAATTTGATAAGTTGTGCAAAATTTCGAGTCAATCGGACAAATTTTAGAAGTTTAGTGCACAATTTATCTAAAATCGGACGAAATATATATGTAGAAGCTACATCTAAATCTGAACCGATTTCAACGAGACTTGCCAGAGATGCATTTATATTAACTTAAGTTCATTGCGCAAAATTTTGTCACAATCACACAAAACTTGGGACTTCTCCATTGGCACCATTTCCATTAAATCAGAGAAAAATATATGTGGGAGCTAAATCTAAAACTTAACCGATTTTCAGGAAACTTAACCGATTTTCAGGAAACTTAACACGCATCATTCGAGACGCAATACAGTACGTTATGCCAAATTTCGTGCAAATCGCAAGATATATGTGGTGCACCATTTACATGAAATCGAACGAAACTATATATGGGAGCTATATCTAAATATGCACCGATTTTCACGAAACTTGGCAGACATCATTCTAGACTCAATTCAGTACGTTATGCCAAATTTCGTGTAAATCGAAAGATACATAGGGACTTCTGGGCACCATTTAAATGAAATCGGACGAAACTATATATGGGAGCTATATCTAAATGAGGACCGATTTTCATGAAACTTGGCAGACATCATTCTAGGCTTAATTAAGTACGTTATGCCAAATTGCGTGCAAATCGAAGGATATATAGGGACATTGGTGCACCATTTACATGAAATCGGACGAAACTATATATGGGAGCTATATCTAAATCTGGACCAATTTTCTCGAAACTGAGTAGACATCATTCTGGGCTCAATTCAGTACGTTATGCCAAATTTCGTGCAAATCGAAAGAAATATAAGGATTTTAAGGCACCATTTGCATGAAATCGGTCGAAACTATATATGGGAGCTATATCTAAATCTGGACCGATTTTCACGAAACTTGGTAGACATCATTCTAGACCTAAATGATTAGGCTGTACCAATTTTCGTGCAAATCGAAAGATATATAGGGACCGTTTACATTAAATCGGTTAAATATATATATGGGAGCTATATCTAAATCTGAACCGATTTTTCCCAATTTCAATAGGGTTCGTCCTTGGGCCGAATAAGTGACCTATGCCAAATTTCATCCAATTCGGATCATAAATGCGACATGTACTTTGTTTACAATTTATCATGGACAGACAGACAGACGGACGGAAGGACATGCATAAATCGACTTAGAAAGTGATTCTATGCACATTCTCAAAAGGAGCCATGTGTCTATCTCGTTTCTTTTTGCCTGTTACAAACATAAAACTATTGAATATAAATATATAGTTTGTTCTGAGACTCGTAGTGGATTTTGACGTAGAATATTTTATTATTTGACATTATGTACCTAAAATTAAGTTTCATGTTCCTTTAATGCACTTTGTCGAAAAAAATACTGGGAAATGTCTTTGAAGAAAAAAAACAGATCATTTTGAATTTTTGGTTCAAAATGTATGGCTATATTCGGTATATACATTATACATAAACATTTTTCTTGTTCAGTGACTTATGTTAAAAATTGATGGAGAATATTTTTGTCCCTTATACCATCCTTCTAAAACGACATCTTGTGGGAAAAATGGGTAAACACAAGTAATAAGTACGATATTAACCTTAAAATGAGTTTTTGTTTTTTTTTAAGATTTTTGACGTTTAGGCAGATTTTTGAGTTTTAGTCTATTCTGAGACTTATAGTAAAACTTTATGGCGAACATTTCTGTAGAATATTCTGAGCAGCTTTAACCCCGTTGTTAATGAGTTTTCAATCACTCCTGGAAAAGGGGACCGAAAAGACCCCTTCAATGTGTCGGTTGAGGGTTAAAGTTGCATACCAAAATATTCCTCGATATTTTATCAGTAATATCGCCGAAGACACTATATACCTAAAATGCAAGGATTTCAAGAAATCATAATTCGAAAATGATCAAAATTCTTGAATTGCCCCGCCTTTTTAGGTTACCTCCCGACGTAAATGCCGATACACGTGTCTTCTTTTTTTTAGCCCCTCTTTTATAATCTGTTGGAATTTCACGCTATAATACCCTTACAATATAGTTGTGTAGGGTATACTAACGATATTGGTTCATTGATCGATCAAAAACAGTAGGTACAGTCTTTGACCAGAACCCAATCGACATACAAAATTACATGTAGATGGGTCCATAACTGTGGCCTGTACACAAATCTATAGCAATCTTAAAACATAGTTGTGTAGAAAATAGTAAATTTCCTTTTACGAACATTGTAGCTCAGTTACATAGCTCTTATAGAAGAAAACTTCGACAGAAAAGGGACGTACATAATAATGACTACGTTCCTGTTGGCAAAAATTCTATTCTCAGCTCCTTCGCTATTGTAGAAGAAAACCTCGATAGAAAAAGGACATATATAATAACCACGGCCCTGCTGGCAAAAAATTCTAATCGTTATTGTAACATTGGGGCAGTAGTAATTTATTTCAAACTAATTTCCACTAATATATCTGACACTACATAATCAGTTAAAGTTAAGAGTTCACTTGCATACCGCACATTGTTTTTTTAACAAAAATGTTTAACTTATTTTTCGGCTTTTATGCATAATATGACATTGCGGTTTGTGGATTAAAAGTTAAACGTTCATTCCATATTCACACCATTGACCAGTACCTCCTTTTTTTGGTTTCTAAAAAGCTCCCTTCCATTATATTGCCAAACAATATGTTCACAATATTTCCAATACTTTTACAAAACTTTACTTAATTTGTTTTATTTTTTTCTGTTTTTTTTTTTTTTAATTTATTCTAAAAAATCACTTCAACCACAACTGTAATCTTAGTCTTCGAAAAGCTTTTAAAAATATTAAAAAATGATCTCAAAACCACATAAAAACCTCAACAAAACAAAAACGAATTTACCAGCAAAGCCAAAACTACAGATAGATGGGAAAACGTAAAAGTTTGACTGTTTTTTACTCTATTCGAAAAAATAGAGAAAAAAACGTAAAAACTACACTAAAATAAATTAAAAATGCATACAATATTTACTGAACTAAATATAGAAAAAAAATATATATATTGGTAAAAGCAAAAAACGGGGTGTAGAATAGAGGGCGATGGTGGAGGGGGGAAAGGAAGAAAAAAGAAAAATATTTATATAATTTTTTTTTATTTTTCCAAAAACTCAGCCATATGCAAATCGTTTTCCTATATCTCTATATACATATACGTATGTATGTGTATTTTCTCTCTATCTGAAGTAAATCTAGTGATGCATGTGTGCATCTTCCTGTTGTTCGAGTATAGATAGTAGTAGT